CACGTCTCGAGAAAGAGAGTAAATATTCCAGCACACTCTTACCTACTGGAGCTTTGCCTAAACCGAGAAATAGCTATGATTTGGATTCAGCTGCAGGTACAGTTACATGTTGATACAAATTAAGTTAACTTAAACAATATTAACATCGTTTTTATTGTCTAATAATTTAGTGACACAAACGCTCTTGTAATTCGCGGTTTATACGAGTTTTACTCAAGGAGTTTACTTAATTATATATATTAAATGTGTCAACATGAGTTGCCCCGTTTACTGTTAGACTTCTTTTCGGGGTAGACTATTGAGTATATAATATAGTAGGTTATTATTTAAATTTTACGATACTGAATAAAAGCGTAACTACATTTTGGTCAGTTTAAGCTTCATTGTCAATTTTACTTGGTTTTGCATTCCCAAACATTGTTTTTATATCTCTCCCAAAACGCAATATTATCTAGCTTAACTCTTCGTCGTGATTGCTTTCATTAATAGTATTTAAAACGCAATAGCTGCTTTGTGACTAAATGCAAGAATTAAATTACTTTTGTCCAGCACTGTATTATTGACATTGTCGAAAAATTAACAAGTTTGATTCCTTAGATTACAAAGTACTGATTGTATGATTGATGACATTGCCCTCTTTATTCGTCCATGTAACTTTTTTTGTATAATCAAGTTAAGCTATAAAAGATGACGATGAAATTAAACTTGGAAATAAAAAAGTTTTGTTTAAATACAAGATATTCACTTATCCCGTCTAAACTCCTACTACTATACACATAACAAACTTGACGCTTTTAATTATCAATTAATACAAAGTCCGCTCAAAGTGATAATGCTAGTGCTTTCAGGGAAAACTAAACATTGCTCCAAATGCAAGACTTTTAGACAAACCATTGATTTCGTAAGAACTAGAGCTCAGAAGACACAAGCCTTTTAATGCCGTTACCTGATTTACATATACCATTAATTTTCAGTTTTATTGCCACTCCTTGTGCAAGCACCTGGTCTGGCTTTAACTTTTATTTTTTACATACCCAAGATATGATATTAATCTACCTGAATCTGCTATAGATAACCAGACCTTCATTATGTCATCTGTTATTTATAGTCATTTTATTTTTAAATCCGCGATACTCAACAATGTTAGCAGTCGGACGGTGACTTATTTCGAAAAAACAATCCAAGAACTGATCTGGGTATTATAAGCAAAATGCAATAATATTACACACTAGAACATTTGAACTTGAAATATGTATTATTAAGACCCAAATGCGGAAGTATTTAAAAAATCGGATAAGAAAGAGATCAACGGAAATAGAGTTGGGGAGGAGAGGGGAGGGAATCACAAAGTTATTTGGCATTCCATGGTAAATGCAGTCCAACGGAATGTTGATAACACATTGCCCGGGTTGAATGTTAAGTGGATTGCCTTGACGGTCAATTGTTCCAAATTCATTCAATTCTGTGCTAAAAAAGTATGTAATAATATGACATACCATTAAAGGAGCAAATGCACCAACAGCTGTTCGATTATTTACGCAATAATGCCAAGCCTATTAAAGAATAAAATTATTCGAGCGGTAACATGGAAACTAATGTTTGTTGTCAATACTTACTGTCATCTCCGTTGGAACTGTACCATCTGATGTATAGTTTAGCTTAATGGCAATTACATCGTGAACTCTATTAGGAAGGAACTAGTAATTTTCTATTTTATCCTTAAGATTTTCAGAATAAGCAACTTCTATTACAATGTTGGGCCAGGGTGTATTCTAAGAGTATATGTTACGTGTATTACAAACATTAGAAATTTCGACACAATCACATCAGCGTATGAATGAACAATGTTCATACTTTCCCATCATATCCACCTCTAAACATTTGAGGTTTTCTTGCAGGTATAAGAGACGCATCCGGCTCTGTTCCTTTTTCTTTTGTTCTTGACGCTTTAGTTAAAGATAGTGAGGTAAATTTCGTGTCCTTTATTAGGCGCAATAAGGTGGACCTCTAAAGCTGCTTGATAGTGAGGTAATAGAAACATACTTAGAATAAAGTAGCGTAAAGAAAACTAATAAAAACACTCACTAATAAAACACTCACTCGTCGCATCAGAAATAGTAACACTGGAAGGAGTACATTTCACTGCTCGAAGTGCTACACCCAATTCTCCTATAATTGTACCGATACTTTCCCCGTGAAAGCCTGAAGAAAGTTCGATAACGCGAACGGTTCCATTTTCCCATTCCCAAAGACCCTTTACGTTATGCTTATCTATTTGAATAATATACTCGTCCAACGTCACCCCAGTCTTGAGCTCGTATGGTAAACTTGGCAATAAATAACAACTGATATCAACCACCAATTCGTAAAATATCCAGTCATTGAAGCAAATAGGAAACTTACGTGGCTTCCTCCCACTTGGCTTTCGGATGTATATTACCGGTTTTCCACCATAACTGGCGGTACTTTTAGTTTATCTATCCATCGCCGGGACACTAAGAGAGGTTGAATCAACTACGAGAGGCTGTGGGTAATTGTTGCAGTAATGTGACTCTGTATTACATCTCCGTCCTGTTAAAATCAATTTCCTGAAACGAAATCTTGTGACTGACTAAGTCGGGATTCAACAGAAAAATATTAAGAAATATGATTGTTTGTACAGAGATGTAAATTTGATTACAGCGCAAAACGAAAGTTGTAATGAACTTTGTAAAGGTTCCGACGTCGTCCCTTTAATATGATCTTTATCAACGTATTTGTCAATGATCAAACGATTGGAAAAAAATTTATCATACTTCAATGAAGATAATGTGCAATTGTTTGCAGAATTATAATTTTTGAATAGTCTAGGCATGAGTAGATGAGATCGAATTAGAGATTTTACTACGATAGTTGTCCTTTTTTTTTATTGACAAAGAAAGCACACACTAACGGTGATATATGATTTGTAAGGGAGTCAAAAAGGACAAGACAGCTCGTTATCACTATTTCATGACCTCTTTTAGTCTGAACATGACTTTATCGATAAATAAAAAAAAAAGGAAATGAGCAATCTTTGCCTCCTTGAAGTTATGGAAAATACCGTAAAATATCATTATTCAAACACGCGTCCTATTACTATCAGAATGCCTGCTATTGCGAAGATTTCCGAAACTCCATCTGAATATGAGCAATTGTCTCTTACCTTAAGCCAAATACAATACACGTTAATATTCAAGACCGAGTAGCAAAATTCAATGTCGTTCGTTGCTGCAAAAAATTTGTGGTTGATAAAAGAAACCTCCTTTATGTTTCTCCGATTCGTGACGATACAGAAAAGCGCCGTCGCGTAGTACCTACATATAATAAAAAACTTCGCACTTTAATCTTAGAATGATTTCATAATCAAGCGAACCTTAGAAGCTATGATAAAACATATACTGTCATTTCAGAAAATCACATCGGAATTACGCAGGAGGAAGTGCAAGAATATGTAAACAAATGTACGGCTTGCGCCATTAATATTAAGACTTCCATCAAAGATAAGACTGACATGGTGCCGATTGTGTCAGGAGCCCTATGGCAACATATACAAATCAACCTTGTAGACTTCCACGAGTTTGCAGAATACAACGACGGGATTTGCGTGGCCTCATGTTATAACGTTGAAGCTGATGAAAACTGACTTGCGCTTTATACCTTCACGTGAGACATATTCAGATCGCCCGTATGTAGTCCTGCTATGCAACCAATTCAATTTCATCTATTTACCACGTATATACCTTCTCTCGAAAACTATGTAAAGTCGTTCAAGAAAAGTTGAACAGTATCTAAAATGTATAATGAATAATAGTAGCAATTATTATTAGATGCATCAATCAAAAAATTCAAAAATTAGTCATGCGACGAGAATGAAAGGCAACTGTCATTGATCTATGATCATGAGAGGCGAAGCCTTTTAACTATTTATAACCCTAGTTTCATATACAATTTTTGTTTCCAACACCATGTTGATAATTTATTGTGCATGTTTGAATAATACATAATAAATAATAATGACGCTTCTACTAACTATACTACATAACATATACACATATTGAAAATAATACATGACATTGATTTAACTAACTACCAACTAGCTACTTTCTTGACGCCCGATAATTATCTACATAATTGATTAGTTAGTTCATGGCAACGGAAACTGCCGCATGGGGAAACACTCACCCGCATG